GCAGCAGCCGGGTGGGGCAGGGTGCGCTGCAGACAGACACCGTCTGCTCCAGCCCGCGGATCCTCTTTCCCAACAAACCGCTCTGTTCTGCTGCTGCTGCAGACAAAGGCCGGAGCAGGGATTACCGGGACCAGCACCGTGAGAGCGGGTTTGTGCACGGGGGGAAAGGGCTGAGCCCTGCCACCCCCTCACCCTGCTGGGAAAGGCGCGGGGGTCAGGCTGTGCCCTCCTTGTGGCCCTGGGCCCTGGGGAGTGATGGGGACGTGCAGCCGCCCTGGGGAGTGATGGGGACCACCCTGGGCCTAGGGTCAAGTGTGGGCCTGCCCCAAGGCGATGAACGCAGCCTTCCCTGTTCCTCGGGGGTCCCTGGGCCAGACCCCAGGGGCCAGGGTGGTGCAGGGAAGGCAAGAGCCCAGCCAGAGCCGGGGGTTGCCTCATCCGGCACAGGGGACGCAGGGACACCCTGGAAGGGCTCGCTTCTTGGCAGATGCCGGCAAGGGGCTGAGGGTGCCCGGCTCAGGCCCCGTGGAGAGGAAGAGTGGCCACGAGGCAGAACCGCAGCAGGGTGCGCACCCGGGACAGTCCTGCCAGGCCAGGCAGCGCTGGTGCCGGGGGTGTTGTGCTGGGCCAGCTCCCCCACCCACGCCCCAACACCCACGGGGTTTTGGGCCTGACCACCACTTCCTTCCTTGGAAAGCTGACGGGGGCTTTGGGCCCCACCAGGCGCTGATTCACGTCCTCCCCATCCCGATTCCTGAAAGCACTGACCTGCTGAGACGGCAGCTCCGCTATGGGGAACAGGGTGATCCCCCAGGCGCTCGGGCACACCATGCAAAGCCCCCTCGGCGGCCACCCGCTCCGGAAGAGCCCTAGCTTCCCCCGGCTCTGGGGAGGGCAAAGGCAGAGCCGGGGAGGGGGGGGTTTCTCCCAGGAAATCCCATGAACAGGCTCCGCTGCCGAGGTCCTTTCGCTCAGCCTGAGGGCAGAACACTTAGTGCTGCCAGGTCCTGGGAAGGGAAGTCATCATTAGGTTTCAGAGCTAACACCTGCCTCGTGCAGGGCGAGGCCCTGGGTGGTGCTCACGGATTGGCTGCAGCCGCCTGGGGTTCCTTTCCCCAGCTGGAGGCGGGAGCAGCTCCCAGGGCTTGGGGCTCTCTGCCAGCTGTACCCCGTGGGCTGCACCCCGCCGCGCGTGCGGCCCATCCCGGTGCACACCGAGGTCTGCAACGTGCGAGGACGGGGGTCCCGTCCCCATCCCTGTCCCCGTGCCCTGCAGGAGGACACTGATGGGACCCAGGCCGGGGGTTGGTGGAGCAGAGTGAGACTACCGGCTCAGCGCTGCCCTGGGGTCACCCTGCCCGGACACCCCCCCC